TATATATATATTTATATATATTACACACATATTTCTTATATATACATTTAAACAAATACAAAAAATTCTCCAGATTAGATCCGCTGAGGGAGGTGCACAGGGCACGGGAGGCGGAGCTAAGGAGGATGCAACTGGATATGGAAATGGCCAAGAGCTCATTGGAGAGCCTTGAAAACCATGCTGCAGATGAGCAGCTGCGGTTCTACCGTACCATGAATGTATTCTCACGGAACCTACTGGAATGCCTGTCTGAGAAGGTTAATCTTTGCTAAATTAACCATGTACATAATTGAATATAACTATATACAGTTTATAAAGTATTGGCGGTATGCTTTATTTTTCAGATGGCTTTAATAAACTCCGTTGAGCTGGACATGCACAGTCTCTATATTGACCAGGCAGAGGCGCTGATGAGTCAAAGAAGAGAAGCACTACAGGAGGAGTCTTCACTGATTCAGAAGTTAACCTGTAAGATTACAACTGACTACTGCCTTGTAGTATGTAATATTTTGTAGAGGACACTTCACATCTTATGCCCACTCATGTGATTATAATGGTCATATCTTCCATCTATCACAGGACTAAATGCACATTCATTCATATAATATTGTGTATTGTGGCTGTCTCATAGATAACACTGATTCACACAGCAATGGTGACACAACCGGAGGCTCTAGCCCAACTTGGCAGAGGTGAGATGGATTACTATATTTGCACTTTCACCGTTGCTGACTGTTATTGCTGTAAATACTGCATACGCTAAGCCTGACATTTTGAAACTGTATAGATTACAGCCTTTGGAGGCTTTCTGAGATGCTCATAATCTGTAAATTACAGCTGTCAAAATCATTTATCATCAGTTGTTCAATTCCCTATGTGTTTTCATGTCCTAGCTTGTCTGAAGACATTGGGTGTGTGCCGTGTGACTGGGAACCTACGGCTGAGCAGCAGGCAGAGCTACAAATTAAAAGAGGTGTGAGAGGCTTCATGGAAGCACAAATAAGATTATTTTTCAACAGTGTCGTCAAGAGTCTAGAAATACTTTTAAAATAAAAAGACCACGTCCATACTTGCATTTAGAGTCCATATCAAATATGTCGCTGCATCTATAACTTGGATTCAATTTCAGATGATCTACTGAAAAAGGCACAGGGAGTGTTTGCAGATGTTCAAACAGACTTCTGGGATGTGAAGAAAATCCTCTCTAGATTTGATGAGTGGCGTGTCTCCTTTCAGGGCTCTTACAGTAATGCCTACATTGGCCTATGCCTCCCAAAACTCTTGGCACCCCTGATCCGACACCAGCTTGTTGGCTGGAATCCTCTTCAGGTGATCTATGGCTTGTCTACAGTGTATTGTTTTAGCTTTTTCAGATTTCCATCAAAATCTGTGGATCAGTATAAATTCAGGATATGACAGTAATTATTAAAACATTGTGATTAATAAATGTGCTTAAGCTGTAAAGATGTAATATTTATAACATTAAGCATATCACATATCACAGGTCTACTGGGTATTTTTACGTATTGGTAGGTTTTTTTTTATAAACCATATTTCTTCAACTGCATTACACATTTGAGGGTGTTTATTCAACAATTTGTTATACGTCTCACAGATTATTAAAATTGCAGCACTGTGCATTGCTAACACTAAAAGCAGTGTCACAATATACCGGTATTAATAATAACCAATGAATCAATTAATAAATTATATTTAAGTAAATATTGTATTCATACTATACACAATATATATACTATACTGTCATTAAGTACTCACCTTCATGTCATTCTAAACCTGTAAGACCTTTATTCATCTTTGGAACAAATCATGAAGATGATTTTGATTAAATCTGAGAGCTTTCTGACCCTGCATAGACAGCAACGGAACTACCATGTTCAATGCCCAGAAAGGTAGCCAGGACATCGTTAAAACATCAGTGGTTCCCTTACTGTCTATGCGGCTCAGAAAGCTCTTGGGTTTCATCAGAAATATCTGTAATTTGTGTGTTTGGAACTACATGAGGGTTTGTAATTAATGACAGAATTTTCATTTTTGGGTGAATTATCCCTTTAATGATTGCTACTATAAATTGGCTGCCTTAAAGGCTGGGAAAAGCATTTCAAAGGATGAGACCAAGAGTCTTGTGATGTCTATGGGTCGCAAACTCACTGCTGTGATTGCACACTAGGGATCTGCAACAAAATAATAGCTTTTAATCTTTTACATTTGCCTTAAGTTCAACTGTCCCAATACTTATGCTCACATCAGATAGTAGGATGAACTCTAAAAGTGCTGTCCTTTTTATTTGGTAAAACATGTTGAAACAGCTAATAATAAAATGTGACATTCTGTAGTTTTGTCTCATATTCATCTTTTTATCATATTTGCATATGTCTTGACTACACAGCAAACAAAGCAATTTTGTCATTACTGTCCCAATACTTATGAAGGGCACTATATATATGTGTGCTTGCTACTATATATATATATATATATATATATAAATACATTTCACTGTATATTTTTTCCTGTAGGCAGATGAAGACTTTGAGGCATTGCCGTGGTATTCTGCTGTTGATAGGTTCTGTCACGGTCAGGGTTATGAGGAATCAGAGAACATGGATAAGACGACGCTGCCTACCATAATCGAGAAGACAATCCTCTCTAAAGTTCAAGGTGACTATGGCATTTGCACATAATTGCATTAACAGCTTTATAACACCCATCAGCCTGCTGCATTTTACATTGAATTTGGAAACAGAATGTTTCAGAGAATCATTTAATATCACGCTTTTGGTTTTAATTGACTATTAAGCATATCAGAATTGTCTTGTTCTGGCTGTCTGATTGCTGTCATTGCAGCATTAGTTTAGAAGTGCAGAATGAAATCCAGAACTAATTACCTTATTAATATGTAGCTTGTTTTTTGGCAGGTTTCGTGGAGCTGGTGTGGGACCCTCTGTATGCGCAGCCGTCTCAAACCCTCACGACACTGTGTAAGAGAATACAGGATGATTATTCTGTATTTGAGGTTGAACAAAGCAAACCTGTCAAGGTATTGTCTTATGAGGTATTAAAACTTGTAACTTCATGGATGTAATGTCAGTAAATATAATCAGCTTGTGATTTCATCCTGCAGGCTTTTGTAGAAGCAGTTATTCAGAGGTTAAGGAGTGCAGTAGACAATGACATCTTTGTCCCGCTGTACCCAAAAAAGTAAGCTGACTAACAATTTAAAAACTCTTTGTGTGCTTTGCTCGATAATTATTGTATTCAGATGTTTGTGTGTGATTGTCAAGTTGTTGTAATGAGGTAATCAAGACATTGTGCTTTTTGCTAAGGTTTTTAGAGGATAAACGGTCCCCACAGTTCCAGTTTCAGAACAAACAGTTTTGGTCAGCAGTGAAGGTTTGACATTTCACTTCTGGTCATGTTGTGACTGTTAACATGCCCTTGCTGTTTCTTTATATATTTCAAAAGTTTAGGGTCAAGTGTTTTTTTTTATTTTAAGAAATTAATACTTTAATTTAGCAAAGATTAATTACAAGTATTGAATGCTGCTGAAAATTCAGCTTTAAAGGGGTGGTTGATTGCGATTTCACTTTTTTAACATTAGTTAGTGTGTAATGTTGCTGTTTGAGCATAAACAATATCTGCAAAGTTGCAGCGCTGAAAGTTCAATGCAAATGGAGATATCGTCTTTTAAAATTCTGGCAGTTTAATGCCTACAAAAATGGCTTGTATGGGACTACAACGAGCTTCTTCCCATGTCCGTTACGTCACAAACCCAGATAAACCCCGCCCCCGGGAACACGCAGCAAAGGGGGCGAGGCCATGTTGTGCTGCTTTACAGAAGAGGAAGAGAAAACTAGAGGTGCATGTAAAAATCTGTTCATATATGAATTGCGATTCTGTCGTCTAACGATTCTAATGGATTCACAAGTTTCGAAACCAATGCTCTAAAGCAGCGGTTCTTAATACTGTTCCTCGTGTTGCCCTGCTCTGCATCTCTCTCGCTCTCTCTCTCTCTCTCATTCAGATCGTCAGATCAGCTCCAACAAACTGTTCCATTTATACACTTATTTTCACATAGCTATGAGAAGCGTTATACATGGACGTGCGTACGGTTGCTGTGCTGTATTAAAGCTTTAATCAGAACAAAACCATATATTAAAAGCTAACAGAAGCAGTAGCATTTACAAACAACAGCGTATCTAAAAGTATGGGACAACAACAAACAAACATACCATTAAGAGCAGTGCTTGCACAGGTTCTGCGCGATCCTCTTCATTAATATTCTCTGTGTCTCAATTGGGCTCAGATTGATGAGCAATATAGAGGACGTAATTGTTTACAATACAACCGGAGCACATTCTGAGCTTGAGGGGCGGGATGTTCAGAAGTGCTGTAGAGGCGGTTTAGCGAAGCACAACACACTGAGCCAGCTGACCAATCTCAGCCCAGTATTTCTGAGGGAGGGGCTTCATAAAAACAGGAAATAATCGAGGCGTTTGTTAGAGAAGGGACAGATCGGTGTGGAATAAAGGTCAATTGTGAAAAATAATGCGTTTTTTTTAAAAACGAAGCATGAACACGTTAGACTGAACCCCATAAACACAATCAAGCCTAGAAAAAAACCCAGTCAACCACCCCTTTAAAAACACCTATTTTAAATTGTGAAAATATTTCAGAATATTGCTGTTTGTGCTGTATTTTTGATTTAAAAAATGCAGCCTCGATGGGCATAAGACTTCTTTTAAAACCAGATGCAAGAGTTCTTTCAAAAACAAAAATCCTACTGAACCCAAACTTTTTGACGGTAATACACATTAATATACAGTATGTTCATGAAATCAAACTAATGTTTAGGGTCAAATGTTTCTTAAGTTTGAATGCTGATTGTTATATTAAATCTTTGTGTTTTTCAGTTGCTTGGTAACATGGCATTATGGGATGGTTTGATTCCTGAACATATTCTCAAAGAGCTGATGTTGGAGAAACTTCTCAGCCGTTACTTGATGATAACTGTTCTTAACGAATCTGATCCAAAACACACCATCCAGAAATGCAAAGAGGTGCCTGTACTTACTTACAATATCAATCTAATCTCATGGTTACTGTTTTTAGGTTGTTCATTATAAAGGTAGTTCAAAGGTAGTAAGGTAGTTCATTATAAAACTTAACTTTTATTCTTCTGAGAAGATTGCAGGTTGTTTTCCAGAATCATGGTTTGTTGATGTGAACACTGGATCGTCACTACCTCAGCTGCAGAACTTCAGCAAACATCTTCTTCAGACCGCTCATGCCTTATTTAAGGACAACAATGACTCCAGCAGCACTCGGTAATGTACAACAGTGAACCTCAGACTAATGTATAGTTATACAGCAGTCCTTTCACAATATTTATGCTATTAAATAATGATTCAAAAGTATAATAAATTGTTTCAGAATAATATGGGATTTGTAAGAAAAGGAGTCAAATTATTTATTATTTTGTATAATAGTTCTAATACTCCCCCCCCCAGGGCACTTTTATCGGATGTGCTGTTTGTCCTGAAGAACATAAAGGCACATGACAGTCTTAGGACTATAACAGAAAAATATCATTGTGAGGATCTGTTAAAAACTCTCTAGTAGCAGCCGTCTTGTGTCGGCAGCATGTTTTTGTATGTTTTTAAAGTGCTAAGTCACTTTGATATGTGTGTGGAGTGAATAAAATGTTTTATTTTGGTCCACATGGTTTTCATTTTCCTTTACCTGGGTCAGAACTGTCATTTATTCCTGTCAGAAAAAAATGAAATATTTTACAATTTCACAATGTAGTTATTTTTATGAAATGATATATGGTTCTCATTGTACTTATTTATGCATGCCATATATATTATGGTCTGACATCTCTGGAACATATGTCCCAAAAGAGCTGTTTCCTGGAGTTGGAATAATTCTTGCCTTGGATCAAATATTACTGGCTTTAGACCAAGACGTACCATTCAGAGTCACCATGAATGGGAGAATTCCTGTTGTGAAGTAAACTGGGCCTTCCAAGAAAAATCTCTCACAGATGTTTGAAACTGAGAAGCTATCCTGCCATCAGTATAACTGATGTTCATCAGCTGGGGAAAAAATATTCTGAAAGTGATTCCAACGATATTGTTTCTCTGTGCCTTTATCGTTATAGCTGTAGTGTGGACTCTGCTATTCTTTAATATTAAGAACGTTTTTTACAACTATATCGTTATCGTTTTTGGTGTGAACGAGCCTTTAAAAGGCAACCCCCTCCCCCCCTACACCCTCATGCCTCCCACTTGTACAGTACTTTGTACTATATAGTATGAACTGTATTGTATAGTATAGTAATGTGCTTTTTCTTCAGATGAACGCAAAGACGGATTTTTAGAATCCAAATAATAAAAAATAATCCATCTCTCTGCCTATAATGCAAGTGCACAGTACTTTATAGATAATGCTTCCCAAAACTACAAAGTGAAAAACTTTTTTCAAAAAAATTAACTTAACCTTAATATGCTTCACCAAATTTGAAGCCAGAAATTTCAATAATGAATGTTATAACTGAAGCTGTAGCGCAAAACAAACATCACTGGTTCTCACATGTCAAGCATGCATGTTTGAACTTCCATTTACCATACATGCAATGGAAGAGAATAAAATGCTTTTTATGCAATTTCACTTTGCAGTGAGAAGATAAATCAAGAATCTCTTTTTTTTATTTTTTGCTAGGTTACTTCTACAATTTAAATTAAACAAGTGACAGGAAAACATTTTTGTTACAAACATTTTCTATTTCAAATAAATGCTGTTCTTTTAAACTTTGTATTCATCTAAGAATCCTGAAAAAAATATATAATGGTTTCCACAAAAAAATTACGCAGCACAAATGCTTATCAACACTGATAATAAGAAATAGCATAAAAGACTTCTTTTAAAACACAAAAATTACTGTAGATACACAAGTCATACAAGGGCCAGAATAGAGACTTGGGGATGGGCTTTATTCTGCACAGCCTAGCAACCACATAGCATGCTAAAAAAACACTTTAGCAAACAGATAGCAACACGCTGGCATTTAAGCAATGAGATTTGCACGGGCAAGCATCACGCATCCAGGAAATATACAAGTCTGGTTATATTTTATGGGTCTTTTTATTTCTCAGTAGAGACTCAATAAATAGGTTTATTGTTTAGTTGTGGCATGTTTTCTTTCTGTGCATGCTTCCATTTATGAGGATGACATCCTTACTGCTAAACCAAACAATGGCATTTTATTGAATGGATCCTCAGAGACAATCCAGAATGCATGTCTAACAGGCCAGTCCAACCAGATGTTTACATGATAAGAACATATTTACTTCTTGAATATGTGTGGCGATAGAGATCCTCAGCATTTGACACAGAAATCTGAACATTTCAGCATTCGAGTTGCACTATAGTCACTGACTGGCCTGTGCAGACGTGAATATCTCACTGTGAGAATGGTAGATCTCTCACCTCTCTACAAGTCCATCACTGCACTGTGAGGTTTGTTTCACTCTGAGTATTTCTCTTTGATTCTACTATGGTGACATATTTCATGAAATGATTCCATAACTGTATGCAACAGCCCAGTGGAATTGCTCCACTCCAAAGATAATCTTGTTCACGTGTGCAATATTTACCTTTATTTCCTTTGACCCTTGAAGTGGGGCTTTGCAATCTTAACAATCGGATGAAAAACTAGCAGGAAAGATCTGTTAAATGGGGAATGAATAAAGCAAGTATGGTTCAAAAGTCCTAATTGAAAACTGGGGTTTAAAATGTAATTTAACCCTGGAAATAAATACAACTAAACTAAGCATTCAGCATCAACATAAGATGCTCTTTGTAAAATTTCAAATGTGACCCTGGACCACAAAACCAGTCATATAAGAAGGGTCAATTTTTTAAATGAATTGAAGTCCTAGCAATGCTAATTACTAATCAAAAATGAAGTTTTTATATATTTACGGTATTTACAAAATATCTTCATGGAACATGATCTTTACTTAATATACTAATGATTTTTGGCATAAAAGAAAAATTGATCATTTTGACCCATACAATATATTGTTGGCTATTGCTACAAAAATACCCGTGCTACTTATGACTAATTTTGTGGTCCAGGGTCACAAAGAATGCTGGATAACATGATCATCAGGTTTTGTTGTTATGGGTGTGAGACTATGAAACAGGAAGCAGAATTGGTGTGAGACAAAAGGCTAACCACATTTATCTTGCATTTAACAGTTGGTTGACAGTAGTCTCTGTTCAAAATGTTCAGTCATGTGATATATCACATGAGTTTCCAAAGTTTTGAAGTGCTGAATCACATCTGATACAGCAGAATCAATATGATCAGGAGTTCCCAATCAGCTGTGCTGTAAAGGGTTTCGTCATGCTGCAAGAGGTTCTGCTAAATGACATATCACAAGACAGATGAGATCTCTATTGGTTGATTCTGATACACAGGGGTTCTGTTTGTTGTCTTCTAACTTTGTCAGTTACAGTTCTGGAGTTCATCTGATGGTCTCAAAGCTGAATATATTCTCAAATATCAAATATGCATCCAACATTTTCATTTTCCAGGAACTGCAACTCCACATTTCAAATGCTGTATGTTTTTGGTCACATTTGAAAAAGCTTGTCATCTATGTGTTGGATGGGAAACCTGGGGGAAAATAAGCCTCGAGAGAATTATTCGCCGCGATGGCTGCCACATAGGCTTTGAGTGTGGAAGGGATGTGCCACTTAGCAGCTCCTGCAAAAAGGTTAGCACATGGGACATGTCACATGATACCAGATCCTGGTTCCGTACTGAACACCAGTCACTGAAGACTGACCACTTGAGGGCATAGAGGCGTCTTGTAGATGGAGTTCTAGCCTCTAAAATGGTATTACTGACTCTATTATCTAAAAATCTCTATTATCTAAAATGGTATTAGTGATTAGTTGGCTAGACTCCCGTCGAGTGGCCATACATGAAGACTCCACAGTTCCAGCTGGGGATGCCAAATCTTGCCCAGCGCCTGCGAGAGAAGGTCTCTCCTCAGTGGTATTGACCATGGTGCTGCAGATAGCAGCTGGATCATCTCCGGAAACCAGACTTGGTTCCTCCAGAGAGGAGCCACGAGGAGGAGAGAGCACTTTGTGTCCCTGACTCGCCTGATAACCTGGGGTAGCACGGCGATCGGAGGGAAGGCATACAGGCAGGTGTTGGGCCAATCGTGGGCCAAAGCATCCTGCTGTCTTGAAAAATAGGTTGGGCAGTGATAGTCGTCTTCGGAGGGGAAGAGGTTGACCTCTGCCCTGCCGAAAACTGACCAGATCATCTGAACTGTCTGGGGATGTAGCCTCCATTCCCCTGGAGCTACATTGTCCCTTGACAACATATCTGCTCCCTGGTTCAGTCTGCCCGGCACATGAACCGCTCATAGTGAGAGGAGTTCTCTCTGTGCCCAAAGCAGGAGACGTCGAGTCATCCTGTGAAGGGGATGTGACCTGAGGCCGCCTTGGCTGTTGATATAGGCTACCACAGTCGTGTTGTCCGAGTGGATCAGGACATGGTGCCCCTTTAAGGCTGGCAGGGGCCACTGCTTTGACACAGCGACGGGTTACCCTGACAAAAACACGGCCTAGGCGCTAGGTGTGGGACGGGAAGCGGGCTTTTAGCCAATATTGAAGGCGCCGGATGTGTAGCAGGCCCAAGGGAGTAACTGAGGAGGTGGCTGCCATGAGGCCGAGCATCCTCTGAAATGTCCTAAGGGGACATGAGGTCCCTGGCTTGAACGCCGCCGCCACTCGCTGGATATTCAAGGAGTGTTCCGGTGTAATCCAAGCTCGAATTTTACAGAGTCTATAACTGTTCCCAGAAAGTGACTCGCTGTCTGGGAGTCAGAAAATTCTTGGCTGAATTGATTTTCAGCCCAAGACGCTCTAGGTGGTTGATCAACAATGACCTGTGAATGAAAAGTTCCCGTTCTGATTCGGTCAGTCGTCAAGGTAGTTCAAAAAGCAGATTCCCATCAGTCTCAGAGGGGAAAGAGTAGCGTCTACACACTTCGTAAAAGTGCAAGGGGCCAGGGACAGTCTAAACAGAGGGACCGTATACTGACCGGCCACTTCCTCGAAGCAAATCTCAAGAACAGTCTGTGACGGGGCGCTATTTGGATGTGTAAGCTTGGAAGTAAGCATCTTTTAGATCCAGAAATCAGTCCCCGGCCTTATTTGCGCAAGGATCTGTTTAAAGTTTACATGTCTGCGATGTGAAATCACTGAAATCACAGCCTTTACTCAGATCCACCTAGAAGGATTGAGCCGCTCGATGTAAGTGAGGGGCGCTGATCCTCACGTGTAAAACACACTCAGATCAAAGTGCTGCGGTGAGAGTGAAACACGCGGGACCTGTGTCGGTGTAAAATCACTCAAGCCTGATCACTCAAACTCGCAAGTTCACCGTTTCTTTCTCCAAGGTAACTGGGAGAGGAGAAACGTGAGAGCAGGGGAGGCAGGGCCATCTTCATTGAAGAAGGGGATCCGCGAGCGATGCAGGGACAAACTCACACTTTTGTCAGTGAAAGCAGCCTGCCTCAGTGAGCGCAGCCTCAGCGACGTACACACAAATGCGAAGCTGTCAGCGATCTGAATCACTGGTGACAGCATTCTACTCTGATCCGCCTAGAGGGATTGAGCCGCTCGATGTAAGAGCGGTGCTAACCTCATGTGTAAAACACACACCGAGAGATCAAAGTGCCGGGGGAGAATGAGCACTCAGAG